AACCTGGTGTCCATATGGGATGCCAGCGCCACAGGCAGAGGATTAGCCAAGTGAGCCATGGCGCCAGCCCCCTGTACTTTTATTTTTTAAAGAGGAGTCACAGGACCAGCACTGAGGCACAGTGAGCAGGCTAAGCTGCCATCTGCAGTGCTGGCATCCCATATGGGTACCAGTTCAAGTCCTGGCTGCTTCACTCCCAATCCAGCTCCCTACTAATGTGCTTGGGAAGGCAGCAAAAATGGCCCAAGTGATTGGACCCCTGCACTCACATGGGAGACCTGGAAGGAGTTTCTGGCTCCTGGCTTTGGCCTGGCCTGGCCCAGCCCTAGCTGTTGTAGCCATTTGGGGAGTGAACCAGTGGATGGAAGATTCTCTGCCTCTCCCTCTAACTCTGCCCTCTAAATAAATAAATAAATCTTAGAGAGAGGAGTTATTTCTTAAAATTTTTTCTGTATTTAATTGAGAGGCAGACAGAGTTCCCATCTGCTGGCTCACTCACCCAACATGCAGAAACCAGGGGCAGAGCTGGCACTTCAATCCAAGAACTGGGAGATGGGATACGGGCATCCTAACCAGTGTCTTAATCACTAGGCAAACACCTACCTACCCTGATGCACTTTTTTTTAAAAGACTTCTTTACAAGTCAGAGTTACAGAGAGAAAGCAGAGTTTAGAGGGAGTATTGGGGGAGGGGAGAGGGGACGAGGAAAGGGTGGAGGGAAAGGTCTTCCACCCACGGGTTCACTCCCCAGATGACTACAACACAGGGGCTGGCAGGAGCTTCATCTAGGTCTCCCACATGGGTGGCAGGGGCCTAGTACTTGGGCATCCTCTGCTGCCTTTCCCAGATCATCAGCAGGGAGCTGGATCGGAAGTGGAACAGCTAGGACTCAATAAGCATTACCCACATGGGATGTCAGCGTCACAGGCAGCAGCCTTACCCACAACATTGCAATGCCGGCCCTGCACTTTTTTTTTTTTTTTTTTTGGCCAGGTAGAGTTAGACAGTGAGAGAGAGAGACAGAGAGAGAGTTATAGACAATGAGAGAGACAGAAAGAACTTCCTTCCGTTGGTTCACTCCCCTAATGGCCGCTATGGCCAGTGCTGCGCTGATGCAAAGCCAGGAGCCAGGAACTTCCTCCTGGTCTCTCATGCGGGTGCAGGGACCCAAGCACTTGGCCCTGCACTTTTTAATTTTACCAGTTGGATGAAATGAGAAGAGACACGTCACTGATACTTTAATTTACATTTCCTACTTCATTTAGTAGCCATTTTTATTTCTATTATGAGAACCAACAATTTATATCCTTTGCTTATTTTTCTTTGTCTTTTCCTTACTAATTTTGTGAGGTCTTAAATTCTTTGCATATTTCCCTGTTATCTATTGTTATAAATATTTTTCAAACTATCATTTACCAGTTGCACTTTTTGTGTCTACTGAGGTACAATTTACATAAACCAACAGTGATGGAAGTGTACAGTTCAATGAGCTGTCACAAATGTATACACCGTGTACCTACGCTTCGAATAGAAATGCATAATGTCTCCCCAAAAAATTCCTTCCTGCCCCTCTGTCATCGATCCCAGCTGCCAAGAGGCAACCTCTGTTCCAACTTTCCTGATGCCTCTCACCAAGGCCTAGTCGTCTCTTCCCGAAATTCGCAAAAGTAGAACCACATGGTGGCGATAAAGGCTGGCGTCTCTCTAACGTAAGGTCAGAGATCCACACATGGCATGGCACATACTATTGTTCTGTGTCACTTTATTCACAGTTTTACGTTATCTAAATATGATGTACCACTTGATGAACAGTAACAATCAAGGAAACAAACCCAAAATATTAGATTGAAACTCTGCTTATTTGATAGTCAAATACTCAAGGCTATATTCATTTGACTGATATGTTTAAAATTTTTATAAATTAGATCCAGTAGTATACAAAGCACAAAATAAATTTTAAAAAGAAACATTTTAATGTAGTCAGCTTGAAAGTCCTGATTATTTGATAATTCAGGTTTTATCTCCTTCAACAATCAACACTGGCACTTGACAATATTTTTCATTCTAATACAAAAAAAAAATGTCTAAGTATACTCTACCCCGAAAGCAAAATCTACACTGCAATTGTGAGGGTTTTCTGTACCTCTCCAAGAAGGGGAAATTAAGAGTTAATACTGGGGCTGGCGCTGTGGTGTAGCGGGTAAAGCCACCGCCTACAGTGCCAGCATCCCATTTGGGTGCCGGTTCGACTCCTGGCTGCTCCACTTCCAATCCAGCTCTCTGCTGTAGCCTGGGAAAGCAGAAGATGGTCCAAGAATGGGCCCCTGCACCCATGTGGGAGGTCCAGAATAAGCTCCTGGCTTCAGATCAGCACGGCTCCAGCCGTTGTAGCCATTTGGGGAATGAAACAATAGATGGTAGACCTCTCTCTCTCTCTCTCTCTGCCTCTCTGTAACTGCCTTTCAAATAAATAAATAAATCTTTCAAAAGTGTTAATATTGGCCAGCGCTGCGGCTCAACAGGCTAATCCTCCGCCTAGCGGCGCCGGCACCCCGGGTTCTAGTCCCAGTCAGGGCGCCGGATTCTGTCCCGGTTACCCCTCTTCCAGGCGAGCTCTCTGCTGTGGCCGGGAGTGCAGTGGAGGATGGCCCAAGTGCTTGGGCCCTGCACCCCATGGGAGACCAGGAGAAGCACCTGGCTCCTGCCTTCGGATCAGCACGGTGCGCCAGCCACAGCGTGCCGGCTGCGGTAGCCATTGGAGGGTGAACCAACGGCAAAGGAAGACCTTTCTCTCTGTCTCTCTCTCTCACTGTCCACTCTGCCTGTTGAAAAAAAAAGTGTTAATATTATTTAGCAATTTTTGTAGTAGGAGCTGACTTGCACTACTTGATGCCTTTGATACACAGAGACCAAGACAAATTACGTAACAGCTCTGAGGAGAATCAACGTTTCAACCAGGAATTACGAGCTGAGTTAGTTTTGACTCAAGTTTTTTTTCTTTTTCCTTTTTAAATAACTTTTATTTATCTATTTGTACTTTTTTGAAAGACAGAGACAGATCTTCCACCCACTGACTCAGCGATGCTGACCGAGCAGGACTGAAACTGGGGGCCTGGAACTCAATGCAGGTCTCCCACATCGTTGGCAAGACCCATGTACTTGAGCCATCATCTGCTGCCTCCCATGGTACAAATTAGCAAGAAACAGGAGAGGCAGAGGCAGGATATAAACCCAGGAATTCGGATATAGGATGCCAGAGTCTCAACCACGGTGCCAAACACCCACCCCTCTCCTTCCTTTCCGTACTGTTTTGAATTTCTCAGGTGAAGGAAAGACTTAAACCTACTTGAACAAGCAATAAAATATACTCCACAGCATACACATATTCTGTAAATGGCAGTTTACATCACAAATTTCTTGTAGAGCCGTAATATACTACAGACAGACATTTTTAAAACGTGCATGCTATTTGACCTTGTAATTCCAATTCTAAAAACTGAATTTGAAATAATCAAGGATATATTCAGAAGGTGCACATTATTTCTGTTATGAGAAAAACCTAAACATCTTGTGAGTTTAGATAGTTGTGTTATGATATAAACATATGAAAATGACTACATTAAAAAATGTGCATGTAGAGGCCAGCATTGTAGCATAGGTTAAGCCTCTGCCTGCAGACGCTGGCACCCCATATGGTGCCAGTTAGAGACCCCACTGCCCCATTTCCAACCCAGCTCCTAGCTAATGGCCTAAGAAAGCAGCCCCTTAGGTCCCTGCACCCACGTGGGAGACTGGGAAAAGGCCCTGGCCTCCTGGCTTCAGCATGGCCCGGCCCCAGCCACTGCAGCCATTTGGGGACTGAGCCAGTGGATGGAGGATGGATGGATGGATGGATGGATGGATCTCTCTCTCTCTCCTCCCCACTCACTGTCTCTGTAACTCTGCCTTTCAAATAAATAAAAAATAAAGCTTTAAAAAAAGGTTTACTATTTTTTTAAAAAGTACATATAAAATAGTCTATTTTGTCTCACCCCACAAAAATTAGGCACACTGAGATCAAGAACTTGGTTTTATCCACTGCTTTATTCCCAATTATCAGAACAATGCCTGGCACATAACAGCCACTCAAAAACATGCAAAATGGATAAATATGAGTCATTGAGTACAGAAAAGGGTTTAGCTAGAAATACATATAGAAAAATCACAAAAGATGTTCGTTTACTTGAAATTCAACTATGCAGACTAATCAAAGCAAAACAAAGAAGTCACAGAAGCTGTGCACACTGTATACCCTGGTTTTCTGGGGTGAAAACTCGAATCTGCTGTTCCCTCTGTGGATCTCACATGGTGACCATCACCCTAATCATGAAGGTAATGTAAAGGAGGACTGCTGCACATACCATGGCCCCAAAGTATGAACCAACTACTTCATCTAATGCTTCACTGAGAAAATAGAAATTTCCTCCAAAGTTGGGCTCTTAAAAAGGAGTTCCAAGAATCATCTGGATCATAAAGAAAATCCACCTTAGCAGGTAACTTCAGATCCAGCCTTCCTACCTCCAAGCAAAACGCAACTCAGGAGCTAGTGACAGACATGGATACTATCCTGGTTTTGATCCTTTTTATTTTCAAGTGTTTCTACAATTTACAAATATGGCTTTCATAACAAGAAAAAAAAGCTCTATTTAATTTTCAAGTGCCCACAATAGTCTTTTCTTACTTATCACAGAAATACTAGGTGTAGTACCAGTATTCCTCTACATGACCTAAAACAACTCCCCTATATTATCAATTGTTAGGAAGTTTCCTCGTGCAGCACATTATTTTAGCCTACTGCCCTGTGCTTCTTTAAACAACACCTTAACAAACACATAACTCAAGCTACATGTCTTTTCAACAAGAATGAAGGTCATTTTTTATTTCCATTATGATTCATTGATATTGTACAAAAATAAAAATTTCTGAGTTTTTAATTTAAAAAAAAATCCAAAATAAGGTACCTGAACATCATAGAGTGCTACAATATTTTCATGCTGAAGTTCCTGTTAAGGAAATTGAGAAAACGTTTGTATGTAATCTAACAATTTTAATATATTTCAATATACAAATAAAAATATAAATACACACACCTACACACATACAGAAACACTAGTTATAGCACAGTACACTTCTAGACATAGTGAGAACAATCCAACCTATTAAAGCATAAGAAGCAATGTACCTGATCAACTTTCTTATGGCCTAAGTGGTTTTTCACCATCATCAGTTTCTAGATGCCTAACAAAGTCCCTATACTTGTTTATAAAATATGTTCTATAGTTAACATGGCTACTGACTTTCTAACAGTTTTCTAACTTTAATATTCAATTTGTAATAGCAATAGAGGTATTAAAAATATCAAACTGCTTTTCAAAAGCACATTATCTGCCTAAAAGAAAACAAAGTATAACTGTTAACTCAGAGCTATAATTCTTACCAAAGAGATTGCCATAATAGTTTTGATGAGAGCTGATTACGTGTTTGGGTTCCATGACCATAGCAGTTTGGAAATACTGGGTTAAGTATACCAAACCTTGTACAATTTTTCAGACTTTAATTAGCCAAGTACTTTGTTCAAGAAGTATTTAGTAAAAAAGGATTTTCCAAACTAATTTGCCCATGGAATCATTTCCTGCTTTCCTCAAACCAGCTCACTTGGGTAACACTGATTGTGAGTGATCCAAAAACACTGCCTCCAAGGAAAATACCTTTCTTCAACGTAGTAAAAAAAATTTTTTTTTAAATTAGGGTCAACAGAAAAGGTAAACAATGTGTGGGTCTCTTCTCAAACAATACCACAGCAACTGGGAGAAAGAAAGGGAAAAAAAAAACTTAAAAGCAGTCTTTTTAAAATCCCTCCCCAACATTTGGCCAAGAGGCAAACATGTATTGGTAAATTGGTAAAAACAGCTTCAGAGTACTCCATGTTTCAAAATGAGGAGCAGCTAGAAACTCTGAGTTGGGGCCAACCACCAAATCTGCAAAGGCTGCCGTCATGTGTTCACTTCCTCTAACCTGGGATGAAATTCTACACAAAGCAACATACCTTTAAGATTTTAATTTCCTTTCCCAGCAGTATTTGGGATTTTGACAAGTTCTTTTTATTAATACTTTTAATAGCTACCTCCCAGTCAGTTTTCTGAAAAGGAAAAACAATGTTATTCCTGGAAGTTATTCCACAGAAACAAGTCAGCAGAAAACAAAATCTAAGCACAAAGATGGATTTAGCAAATAAATGTGGGGGGGGGGGAGACAATGGAAAAGAACTGCAATGATTTCATCAGTTACAGTGTAACAAGCCAGTGTTTCCACACACACACACACAACACAGCTCCTGAAAATAATCCATACTGAGACCACACAGACACTCACATTAAATGACAAAAGAACACAGTTCATAACCACTTCTAAGATGCAGGGAGATGTGGACATAAATATGCTTAACTGAAAACAACCCTGGTTTACTGTGGGAGGACACCTCCTTTTTTAAAGTTATTTTTACTAATAAATGAGAAGCAGTTACTACCTCGTCTAACAAACAGCAAAGACGGCACACTTTCAACATGCCCCTTGGCACCACTCATAACTGCCAAACCCTTTAGGATTATTTCCACTCCCGGTGCGCCTTTCCAAATTCTTTAGATTCTGAAACCTCGTGTGACCCTACTTGCGAAACAGCAAAGGCCTCTTAGGAAAAATAAATAAATAAATAAACAATTCAGGCTTGAACATGCGTTCGTGTTTACTTGCACTGACTGAAAAATACAGCGTGCAACCATCTTTTCCACTGGGAGCCCTCTAACCCAAGACGGGAAGATGGTGCGGGGCTCGCCGGGGAAAGTGACACCGGCCGGTTGGAGACAGCCCCGGGCTAACGGGAAACCCGCCCGCTTTCCACCAGGTCTGCAATTATCAACCTCAGAGGTGACAATCTCTGGCAGGCCAGGGCGGAGGAAAAAAAAAAAAAAAAAAAAGGTCCAGCCGTGCCGTGCTCGAGCCTCCAGACGTGCACGGAGAGCTATGCAGTCCTTTGGGGTTGAGGGTTAACTTCAGGCTGGACCCCCGGGGCGCACTCCGGTTACGCAGCACCCCGACAGCCAAGGGGGTCAGCAGCTGCCCCGGGCGGCCGGCAGCTCGGTCGGTGCAGCGCTGCCTGGCGTGGCTCCGGCCTCCAAACAATCCCCGCTCGATCCAAACCAACCCCGCGACACTGACAGCGCGCACAATGGCAGGCCCGGGGCCGCCAGCCAAGTTGGGGAGTGGGGAGGGAGCGCGGCTTCGCCAAGTTGCAAAACCACCCCAAAAGCCCTGGCCTCGCCCCGCGGCCGGCTGGGGCAGGCAGCGCTCACCTGGCGGTGGCGCCCCCGGAAGACCACGGCGAAGGCCCCGTGTCCCACGAGGTCCCTCTTGCTGTACTCGAAGTCGCCCACCACCTCCATGGCCGCGCCTCCGGGGCATACAGCGAGCTGGCGGCGGCGGCGGCAGAGCGGTTCGGCGCGGTGGGCAGGGATCAGCACCGGGGGCCCGCGGGCCCGGAGCGCGCCCGCGAGGGGCGGCGGGGCTGGGGCAGCCGCGGCCCCGGGCCCGGGCGGACGCTCATACCGAGAGGCCGGGGCAGAAACGGGAGGAGGCCGCCGCGCGGAGCCGGGGTCAGCGAGGCCTGCTGGCCCGGCCCCTCCTCATGGCCCGGCCCGACGCCGGCCGCGGTGGTGGCGGTGGTGATGGTGGTGGGGTCTCTGGTGAAACGGCCTCGGCACTGCCGGGCCGGGGGCGCCGCCGCCGTCACTGTGCGCCCCTGGAGCTAGACGCGCGCAAGGGAGAGGTGTGGAGTCCGGTCCTCCCCATCCCCAGCTTGTGCGGCCGCCTCGGCCCTCGTCTCCCTGCTGCTGCTGCTGCTGTGGCGGCGGCGGCGGCGGCGGTCGCCGCCCTAAGACCGGCACAGCCCGGTCCCCGCGCCCCACCGCCTCAAGCGGCACCCAACGCACAGGCGCGCGCGCTGGCCGCTCCCGCGCCGACTGCCGGCCCTCCGCGACGTCAGCACGTCTTGTAGGACGCAGCGCGCGGCGAGCCCGCTGCCTCCGCCGAGAAAAGGAGTGCGCGGCTTGGGGCGCGGCTCCGCCTCCCTGAGGGGGCCCCCGCGGGTGTCCGCTGAGGCGAGGGCGGGGTGTTCGGGCCGCTGCGGCCACACCTGGGTCACCCGCTACCGGGCTCCGCGCGCTGGGTTGGGAAGCACGTTGGGCACGGGCCACGCCCTGAGGCGTGCTGTGCAGAAACCGGAGGTCGAATGGCAGCTGCGGGCGGGACCAGGGTATCTCTTGGGTGAGGGAGACCCCGTGGCCCTGTGGCCGCCCAGGCTCAGTGTCCATGCATCGCTGTCCCGGGGCCACTCCCCACGGGCTCTGTTAAGTTTGAGGCTTAACGTTCAGTGGCTTTCGAGAACTTTCTTTTTTCTACCTGATCATTCAACTTGGCCAGCTTTCCCTCAAGAAAATGTCCCGAGAAATCATTGTATAAGCAGCATGCCTGGAAATGGGGTGGAAAATTCGGTCCCTGTACTTCAGCTTTTTTTAGGATGTTTGCATTCAGGTTACCTCTCCCCGCCAGCAGCCTCTGAAGACTGAAATATCCAACCCTGAGGCAGCGAGCCCCCGGGAGTCCCAGATAATGTCTGAGTCCGTTTTGGTTGCAAATTGCACGCACGACACCCGCGACTGGGTAAATTACAAAAGAAAGCGCATTATTTCGGCTCACATTTCTGGTCCAAAGTGGAGTGGTCCCATGTGGGGATGATCTTGCTGGGAGCACACGCAAGACCCAGCCAAAATGGCTTTCAAGGCAGCCACTCTCCATTTAGCCCGCTCACCTGTGATAATGAACGCTCCTGAATAGATTGATCCATTCATGGAGGCGGAACCCTAATCACATCTTAAAGGTCCCACCTCTTAATATCTCCTAACGGGGATTCTATTTCAGTATGAGTTCCAGAGGGGATAAAGTGTATCCCAGACCTTAGCGCCCTCGTGCCCACGCCCTCAGAACGGAGGGCCTTGCATTTCTATTCCTGCTGCTGTGACCTCCCACATAATTCTATCCTGACTTCAAAATCTGGCGCAGGTGGTTGGGCTGGACATTGAAAATCTGGAGCTCTCAGACACTGACAGTGAGTGAAGCAACTGTGGGTATACACACACAAGGATTGATCTGGAGATGATTCCTCAGCGGATTGAAGGATTTTTTTTTTTCTTATGGTTTGAAAATTGAAATAGGGGAGGCCGGCGCCGTGGCTCACTTGGTTAATCCTCCACCTGCGGCGCCAGCATCCCACATGGGCGCCGAATTCTGTCCCGGTTGCTCCTCTTCCAGTCCAGCTCTCTGATGTGGCCCAGGAGGGCAGTGGAGGATGGCCCAAGTGCTTGGGCCCTGCACCCGCATGGGAGACCAGGAGAAACACCTGGCTCCTGGCTTCAGATCAGCGCGGCGCCGTCCGTAGCGGCCATTTGGTGGTGGGGAGGGGGGGTGAACCAATGGAAGAGGAAGACCTTTCTCTCTCTCTCTCTCTCTCTCTCTCTCTCTGCTCTCTCTCTCTCACTCTGCCTGTCAAAAAAAATTTTTTTAATGAGTGAAAAGTGTGTAAAGTGCATAGGCACTACATGGGGGGGGGGGGGGGTTAAGTCAGGAAAGTGAGACCAAAGCTAGCCTTAGGCAGTATGTCCCCAGCCCCAGACAGGCACCGTCAGCATCTTTCTCTCTCTCCTCCATTGAGTCCACAGGTGGTTTCCAGGTGAATAGAGATGACATTTTTCAGCCCCATGGCCAGACAAGCTAGACCCACTGAGGACAGTTAATCTAACAAGTGTTTGGAGGATTCACTTCCTGTAAGCTTTGTTGACAAGAGCAATGAACGTGAAATTTTTGGATAGCAAGGAAGCAACAGGGCAGGGAACAGCACACCAAGAGTAGGGCCAGCAGCAGTTCCCACGGAAGCTCAGGGAGCCATCCTCCACTTCCCAGAAGCATCCGATGCCACTGGCTTGGGGGTCTATGTGCCAAAGCCCCTCCTTGGGCTTCGGAACTCTCAGAGAACAGCACTGGAACCCTCCTGGTGGTCCCCTCAGCGTCCAGCTTAGCCAGCACATATCTTACACACATCCACATCTCCACGCTTTTGTTGTGAGATACAGTTGATAGCCCCTTGCTATTGTTTGGATATTCGTTCGGGTGTCCCCAAAGGTCCATGTGTCAAAGGCAGAAAGCTGGAATTAGAAGCTGGGTATCAGGCCGGCGCCGCGGCTCACTAGGCTAATCCTCTGCCTAGCGGCGCTGGCACACCGGGTTCTAGTCCCGGTTGGGGCGCCGGATTCTGTCCTGGTTGCCCCTCTTCCAGGCCAGCTCTCTGCTGTGGCCAGGGAGTGCAGTGGAGGATGGCCCAAGTGCTTGGGCCCTGCACCCCATGGGAGACCAGGAAAAGCACCTGGCTCTTGGCTCCTGCCATCGGATCAGTGCGGTGCACCGGCCGCAGCGCGCCGGCCGCGGCGGCCATTGGAGGGTGAACCAACGGCAAAGGAAGACGAAGACCTTTCTCTCTGTCTCTCTCTCTCTCTGTCCACTCTGCCTGTCAAAAAAAAATTAATTAATTAATTAAAAAAAAAAAAAGAAGCTGGGTATCACCCCCAGCACCCTGATCCGAAAATTAAGTATCTTAATAGCTAGGCCAAACACCCCCCCCCCAAGTTTTATTTTTTAAGATTTATTTATTTATTTGAAAGAGTTATGGGAGGTCTTCCTTCTATTGTTTCAATCCCCCAAAAGGCCTCAACAGCCAGGGCTGGGCCAGGCCAAAGCCAGGAGCCAGGAGCTTCCTCAAGGTCTCCTACGTGGGTGCAGGGGCCCAAACACTTGTGCCATTTTCCACTGCTTTTCTCAGTTTCATTAACAGAGAGCGGGATTGGAAGTAGAGCAGCAGACAAGAACCGGCGCCCGCCCACATGGGATGCCGGTGTCACACAGGTGGCAGCTTTACCTGCTAAGCCACGCTGCCCGGCCCCCTCCTCCTGAAGATGTTTTTACGAAGCCACCCACAGACCCCTTAATGTCGCTGTGCATTGTGACCTGGGCCACTTGCACATAAGGAGTTTTGACCTTGAGGCTCATTATTGAAAAGAAATGATGGAGGTAGTGGGAGCTTTGCAAAAAGAATATTTATTTAGGACTATGTCCATGACAAACAGCAAATACCAAATACGATAATGTTAAAAAAAAAAAAAAAAAGTGCAGATAAAATACAGGTGTGATTCTCAGAGTTCCCAGGGGCCAGCACTGTGGCACAGCAGGGGAAGCCACCCCCTGTGACGCCTGCATCCCATTCAGCTCCTGCTTGTAGGTGCTGAAGCCCCTGCCACCCATGGTGGGGACCCGGATGGAGTTCTCCTGGCCCCTGGTTTCAGCCAGGAAGCAGCAGGGGCGGGCACTGTGGCACAGCAGCTCAAACTGCTTCTTGGGACATCCCCATCTCATCTCGGAGTGCTCGGCTGGAGTCCCGGTGTCTTAGCTTCTGACCCAGCTTCCTACTGATGCGTCCTAGGAAGACGCGAATGATGCCTCAAGTGCTTGGGCCCAGGCTACCCATGTGGAACACACAGATCAAGTGCCAGCCTCTTAGATTCAGCCTGGCCCAGCCCTGGCTGTTGTGGGCATTTGGAGAGTGATCTCTCTCTCTCTCTCTCAGTCTTGATCTCTCTCTTGCTCTTAAATAACATTAAGAAAAAGAAAGCAACAAGATTTGGATATCTTTATTAAAGTTTTTAGAAACATCATACTCCAAAACCTGATTCATAAACATCAATTTTCTAAAATGACGTAAATAGTAAACTTCAGCCTAGGAATTATCTAATAAAATGCAAAAAATGAGGACAGCGGGGGGCATTTTTTAATCAAGTCCTTGGCCCCTGACAACCACAAGGGAGACCTGGATGGAGTGTCTAGGCTCCTGGCTTCAGTCTGACCCAGTCCTGACTGTTGCAGGCATTTGTGATGAGATGATCTCTCTCTCTCTTTCTCTCTCTCTCTCTCTCTACCTCTCTCTCTCTCCATGCTTTCCAAAATGAAAATGAACATTTAAAAATATATAAATAAAAAGAATAGAGCATTTTCAGCCAGAATGGATTTATTGAACTTGGAGAAAAAATGAGCCTCTTGTAGTTCATCACAATCTAGATTTCACTCCCTCTTACCAAAGACCTACTGAGATGACACAACACCTGCCCCAGGTTGGATTCTCTGGAAACAGAACACTGACCTAGAGTTCGGGTGTGAGATGATTATCGGGAATTAACACCAGTGAAACAAAGGGAGTGGAAACCGGGTCGACAGAGGGAGAAAGTCTAGTATTTTAGCCAAATATTTAAAGAATTTTCAGACATTTTAATGTGGCACTTAATCACTGTATTCAGTTACCTCTTGATGATATAATACATTTGTAAAGCGAGTAAATCT